AAGCATCACAAAAACAAAAACTATATGAGGAATCACGAAAACAATTTCCATTTCCTCAATATCGATGGAATGAAAGTGATGATTGATTAGTAAATTCATTACAATGATGATTGAATCAGAAAGTGGAACTTACAATGATAAAATCAATCAAAAATCAAAAGGCTCTCTCTACCAAAATCCCTCCCAAAATCGCTCTCCCAAAATCGCTGCGTGCTACTTCTCTATAGCTGTTAGAATCAGCTTTGAATTGAAGGAGGAAGTATTTATTAAACAGAAATAAATGAAAAAAAAAAATTACTACCTTTGGGCCTCGGAGGAGCACTTGGGCCGGTTGGGGAGGACATTTGGGCCCAAACAGGACTCATCCGAATGAGAGGAATTGATCTGAAGTTTTGATCGGAAGTTTTTATCGGGATTCGAACTCGAATCAGGACTCACCACCAAGACCAACCCAAGCCAGGATCATCCACCGGTGCTAAATTTAACTAATTCATTATACATTCAGTTGTTGACACAAATTCGGATTGGTCCATGTTTCTATAATAAGAAGAATAAAATTGGAAAAGATAGTATTAGATCAAATGCAATAAGCTCACGTAAGATACGATTAAAGTAAAAAAGAACAAAATATTTCTATTGTGGAATTTCTGTTTACTTAAGACTCTTTTAAGTATTAAGTTAAGACATTAAAGGTAACACGGAATTTTCACCTAGCAGTCTCGTTATTAAACATATAAATAATAGTAATAATAAAGGTATATATTAGTTTTAGTGGGCTTTGTATTTTGAAAGCATGTTTATCCAAGCCATTAAACACACTTTTAGCGGGCTTCGAATTTCGAAACCTATGTAATGTAAACTCGTTTAAATTACTCGAAATTGGTTAATCTCAACAGAAGCAAAAATAAGACACATTTTAATTTCAAATTACTCGTATAAGCACTTCCCCAATCCGGCTTAACATCCACGGCCACTAACCATATATTGAAAATTGAAAATATTTATAAAAAAAAGTGAGAATTTGAGACAAAGGCAAAACAAATAGATTTGAAGAAAAAAAAAGGTGCTCATATTCTATGGGTGTAATGTGAGTCTATCAAAGACATTTAGCTTTCAGTACGAGGAATTACTTTTACAATCATCACACCAAACCCAATTTCTTCAC